AAACACAACACATTGCTTACTCCAAAAGTGTCCTAATTGGTATTCTTTCCATTCTTGCTCCGTGAGGCAAAGACTTCTTAGGGGTCCACCCAATATCCATTTTCTCCTTCCTTACTAAGAGAACCCTGATTTTACTTAGGAAGTTAATGTACCCAGCTAAAACACTATGCTTCCCAGCTTCCCTGGAAGCTAGAGGGAGTCTGTGACACTGGACTATAAAATATAGGTGAAGTCACTGGGTAGGGCTTTGGAGAAAGCTCTTTGAAAGGATCCAAATCAGCTGACATGTGTCCTTCTGCCTTCCGTCTTCTATCTAGATGGGATTCTAGAGAAGGATCAGCCATCTCACACAAGGAGACAGGAACACTTGAAGATGTCTAAACAGAAAGACAAAAGGGGCCTGAATCCCTGGTGTCATAGAGCTGCCATATCAGCCCTGGACTGCTTATCTCCACTTTTTTTGTTACTTGAGAAAAATAAAATTCCTAATTTGTTTGAGTCATTATTTTGGGGTCTCTACTATTCACAGTAAATACAATTCCTAACTCCTAGGTCCATTACAGTTTATTCCCCACACAGCAACCAGAGACCTTTTAAACAAACAAGTCAGATCATATTAGTGGCTTCCTATCACACTTAAAATAAATTTAGCCTCCTTACTAGGTCAACTAGGCCGTCTGTGATCTGACCCTGCTATCTCTCCCAACTCATCTCCTACCAAATCCCCATACCACCCCTCCACACACCACTTGCAAACTCAGCTCCACACTGTTCCTTCAACAAGCCAAACTTGTTTCTGTCTCAGAGCCTTTGCATTTGCTTCTCCCTTTGTCTGGAATGCTCTTTCCTCATACCTTTACTTGGCTTGCTCCCTCACTTCTTTCAGGCCACAACTCAAATGTTGCCTTTTCTGAGAGACGGTCCCTGATCACTCTATCTAAAACAGTCTGTGTGTCTCCTCAAGTTCCCTTCCACTCCCCTATAACTCCACTTGTCCTGCTTTATTTATATTAAATATTTGTTTGCTTATTTACTGTCTGTCTTCCCCACAAGAATGGACTCTCCCTGAGGGCAAGGACCTTGGATGTCTTCTTCAGCACCATATCCCTAGAACCTGGCACACAGTAGGGACACAATAAATATCTGATTAACAAATGAATACACATCATGATCTCATTTATACTGAAAAAGACTAAAGCATATGTGTGTGTGCATGCATGTGTATATGTAAGTATATAAAGGATCTCGGATATACACTAAACTGTCGACACTAGTTACCTCTGGGAAAGACAGTGGAAAATAAAGAAAAGAGGAATTTTCACACTGCATTATTTTTCTTATTTAAAAAAGACAAAATTAACTATAAAACACATGAGACAGAAAATTTTAAACATACTTAGAAATATAAACCTATTCATAGAATCATAAAATTTAGAAACTCATAGTAACCTCAGTACATATACTACTACCCCACACGTAGGAGGATCTATGATTATTAAGTAAATATCTTCTAAAAGAACTTGGATTAGGGGAACAAAATTTCTTGTTAACTTTTTACAGCCCCTTTACTGTCACTTAAACAAAATAATAAAGTATACCAAGTAAAAAGTATATTAGTAGTATGTTACACATCAAATTAGTAATGATGAGTTGTGTAGAATTAATTTCCACTTACCATCCCTTGCTCAGTAGAAACTTTTAAAGATCTTCCCCACTAGAGATTCATCCACATAATTTTATATTTACTTGGTTTTGTTTCAGAAAATATGCAATCTAAGAGACATCTTTTTCTCTATCAAGTTCTCCATCCAATTGTCTAGTGCCTTTTAATCTTTTTTTACATCTTTATTGAGGCATATTTTACATATTATATAACTCATCCATTTCAAGTGTATAATTCAATGGCTTTTAGTAAATTTACCAAGTTGTAGAACACATCGTAAATCAGTTTTAGAAATCTTCACCGCTGCAATAAAATCTCTCATATCCATTTATGGTTAATCTCCATTCCCACTGCTTATTGCAATCAACCATTAACCTACTGTCTGTCTCTATACCTTCATCTATTCTGGATATTTTCTATAAATGAAATCATACAATGTGTGGTCTCTTTTATCTGGCTTCTTTCCCTCAGAATCTTTTTGAGGTTCATCCATGTGGTAGCATGTTATCAGTGGTTCATTCCTTTTTATTGCTGAATAGTATTCCATTTTATGGATATGCCACATTAGTGCCTTTTGAGTTTACGACTTGGATTTCCATTTTCCAGGTTGTACAATGGATGCAGGATAACTTGGGTACTTGGGTGGGTTGCGGGGGAGAGATCTACAGCTAACTTTTATTTAACCCAAATGGCATAGGTGAGTGTTTTTCAAACCCAATCCAGTTTATACAGGATGAGATTGTCCTAGCTTCACTCAACATTATGCCATCAGTCTCTTTTAAAACCATTCTCCTGTCCCTTCCTCCTAATAGGAACAAAAGCACAGTTCCCTAGGTTTCTTTCTCTCCCAAGGCTTATAAACACCTATACTCTTACAATACCTTTCTGCTATACCTTCTTTTTCAACCCCCAACTGCTTGTTTTCTCTTTATCTTCAAGCTGATAGCTTTAAAATTTCTATATTCTCCAAGTTTCTGAAAAGGTATATTAGAACTAAATATCTGCATATTCTGGAACTTTATTTAAAAGGAATCTGTCATTCTTTTGACGTGGTCCCTGAGAATAATTTCTTCCTATGTAGAAAAAAGCTTTGCAAGTGATTTTCAAAAGATAAAACAGGGTGCCAGCCTGGTGGCCTAGTGGTTAAGTTCACACGCTCTGCTTCGGTGGCCCGGGGTTCACCAGTTCGGATCCCAGGCGCAGACCAAAGCATCTCTTGTCAAGCCACGCTGTGGTGGCATCCCATATAAAATAGAGGAAGATGGGCACGGATGTTAGCCCAGGCCCAATCTTCCTCAGCAAAAAGAGGAGGACTGGCAACAGATGTTAGCTCAGAGCTAATCTTCCCATAAATAAATGAATGAATAAATATATAGATAAATAAATAAAACAAAAAAACCTCACAGTACCAATATAAAAGAAGCATGAGGACCCATGTCAACATTTGACACCCTCATTTCAAAGAGGTCAAAGAATGTATAGCAATTAAGCACAGTTTTCTATTATCTTTTGTCTTCAACATGACCTGGTTAAATACCGATTTTTATATTCAGTATAAAATGCTACAATAATGTTCTTGTCTCGCCTCTGTTTTATGATGATGTCTGATTAAGTGGATTACCTACCTGTATAAAATATTAAATATATTTAATATTTTAGTTTTAATAAACATGTAGAATGATTATCTAATCATTTACAAAGGTGCGTAAGGGATGGTGGTGCAGGGAGAGGGCTGGAGAAGGATGATACAAATCTTGTAACATACTTTACCAGCTTTTTTGAAGTCTTACTTCTGTAAGTAATTCCCAGACAATTAGTTGGAAAACATCAAAAACAAGATGATGTGGACACAGCTAAAAGCTTTCCCAATGGTAAACGTTCTCTAGGAAATTATTCCACTACTGCCTTACTGGCCTAAGACAGAGGAAAACATAACACTAGCTACCTGTAATTGAGAAACTTTGCAGGATAAGAAAAAATAATACAACCTATTATTATTAAAGCTTAAATGTTAGCTTTTAACTAACATTTAAATGCCAAGAATACCCCTCTTGGTGCCCAGTTATTGCAGCACGTGTGTCAAAGGCCCTGTGAGCTACATTTTCCTCTTTAAAAGGACAGCTAACAGGCTGGCCCGGTGGTGTAGCAGTTAAGTTCACACGCTCTGCTTCGGTGGCCCAGGGTTCGCAGGTTTGCATCCTGGGTGCAGACCTACACACCGCTTATCAAGCCATGCTGTGGCGACATCCCATATAAAGTAGAGGCCGATAGGCACGGATGTTAGCCCAGGGCCTATCTTCCTCAGCAAAAAGAGGAGAATTGGCAACGGATGTTAGCTCACGGCTAATCTTCCTCAAAAAAAAGAAAAAAAAAGGACAGCTAAAAAGGGGTTCTTAATTAAGGTTTACTCTACTTCCATTACAGCTACAGAATTTAACTGGGTCAGTATAAGGTAGTGTGGAGAAAGGCTCTACATTGCAAATTTTAAAAACTGCCAGTAAATCAAAACTCCCACTAGGTGTTCTTTAATGGCATTATTTCAGTTTACTTTAAGAAAATGAATGGCGTTAAGACAAAAAATAACACATGTTGGAGAGAATGTGGAGAAAAGGGAACCCTCATACACTGCTAGTGGGAATGCAAACTGGTGCAGCCACTATGGAAAACAGTATGGAGATTTCTTAAAAAATTAAAAATAGAAATACCATACGATCCAGCTATCCCAGTACTGAGTATTTATCCAAAGAACTTGAAATCAACAATTCAAAGAGACTTATGCACTCCTATGTTCATTGTAGCCTTATTCACAATAGCGAAGATATGGAAGCAACCCAAGTGCTCATCAACTGATGAATGGATAAAGAAGATGTGGCATATATATACAATGGAATACTACTCAGCCATAAAAAAGATAAAATAGTCCCATTTACAACAACATGGATGGACTTTGAGAGTATTATGTTAAGTGAAATAAGCCAGACAGAGAAAGACAAACAATGCATGATTTCACTCATATGTGGAAGATAAACAAACACATGGATAAAGAGAACAGATTAGCGGTTACCAGAGGGGAAGGGAGTTGGGGGGTGGGCAAAAAGGGGTAAAGGGGCACGTATATATGGTAATGGATAAAAATTAGACTATTGGTGGTGAGCACAATGCAGTCTATACAGAAACTGATAAATAATATTGCACACCAGAAATTATATAATGTTATAAACCATTATGACCTCAGTAAAATAACTGGGGGGAAAAAAAGACATCATGCTAAGTGGAAGAAACCAGACACACACACACACCAAAGAAAATGAATGGCATGACAATATGTATACTCTACCTTTCTCAGGCTTTCATATTCCTCACGAAGTTCTCCAGGCTTGCTTAATTTGATTGGTGCTCTGAATATAAACCCTGGAGGAAAGAGAAAAGAAAACACTTTATAACAAACTTTCTGGAAGGAACCAAGACCTTGTCCTACTGCTGCCCCCACATTATAAACCACATAAAACACTGTGGTCATCTTAATTTGAATATTCATTCATTCATTTAAAAAATATTTATTAAAGGATATAAACCAGGCACAATTCTAAGCACTGGGGAGGAGCACTGAACAAATAAAGTCACTGTCCTCATGGAGCTTACAACCTTGTGGAGGGAAACAGACAATACACAAACAAGTGTGTATATAATACAACTGGTAGTACTAAATGCTATGGAGGAAAATAAATGTAGGAGGGAAGAAAAAGAGTATTTTATATAGAGTGGTCTGGAAGAGCCTCAAAGATAAAGTAACATGTTAAAAGACCTCAAGGAAAAACTACATTTGAAGTTCTTAGTTCAGTGTCACCACACAACATTTTAAATGAGCTGAGTTTTATTCATAATACTGTATTTTTCTATTTCTTTTTCAACATTGCCACCAGACTATTTTCCTGTATACAACCTGTGAATATTTTCAGTGTATAATCTGATTTTTTTACCTCAAAACCTTCAGTAGTTTTGATCAGCCTACAGAATAAAGTCAAAACTCTTCAACATGTCATTCAAGGTTCTCCAGAGACAGATCACAACTTTATCTTTCTAAAGCACTATATCTCTCAACTCTTGAATATCTAGTTACTATATATATATATGCCATATATTTTTAAACCTTTTATGCTGTGTTCTCAGCTAAAATTCTGTTTTCTCCCCTTCTCTCTGTACATTTTTAAATCTGAGATATCCAGGTCCACAGGAGGCACACAATACACGTTGATTATATAAATAGATGATAAAAATCCAAGTTAAGAACAGGAATAAAAGATACGTCCTAAATGCTATCAAAAAGGGGAAAGTACGCACTTCTCCCTCTTTAAATGTACACGACATTTCTATATACCCCTGTGTATATTTAGTGATTTAAACACTGTACTTAAGACTTGCTAATAACTCTACATCCCATTGAGGTTGATAAATATTTGTTGGATAAAAGTAGGCTCCTCAAAAACTTGACTTTTGTCCTTTTTCAGTTGTCTCAACTATTTTAGAAAGACTCTTATTTAGTACATCTGAGAAATGTGGAAGCGACTGAGGTAGAAACATTGCACCTAATGCATATGCAGAACATAATAACTTAAAGTCTCCCAAGTACAGAAAACTGTTAGACCCTGAGTTTGGGAGGCAAACATTCCACCACCTTCACCCACTTAAAAAAAAAAAGCCCTGATGACTATTTTAATCACATCCCTTAAGCACATTTCCAATTATAGGCAAATAGTACTTAAAATAAGATGCTGTAAAAGAAAGGGGGAAGGAGGGAGGGAAAAGCAAAAGCCTTAAGACAAAAAAGTACTTTCAATCCATTTATGGAGAACCTATTACACGTAAGATGCTTCATATATATTTTCTCAGTGAATCTTCACAGAAACTTTATAAGGTAGGTATTACACCCATTTTACAATAAGGAAAATGAGAAGTTAATGACTTGCCCAAGGCCACAGAACTAGTACATGGCAAAACCAAGAGAAAAGCATTAATAAGAATAAAGAAGGAAATTATATAATGATTAAAAAGGCAATCCATCAAGAAGATATAATAATCACGAACTTGTACGAATGTACATCACAGCAAAAACTAATAAGATTATAAGGAGAAATTAATAAATCCAAAACAATAGTAAGAAATTTTAACACACCACAATTAAAAACAGATCAGAGAGACCAAGAGGTAGTAAAAATATAGAAATATTGAACAATAAAATTAACAAACTTGGTCATACATAGTTATATATGTGTATGTATCCAATGAACAGGATATATATTCCTTAAAGAAACTTAGGAATACTAAGTCACAAAGAAGTTTCAAAAAATTTCAAAGAATTCATATTATACAGACTTTGCTCTTGGATCCTAGCTACCATTTTCCAAGCCAAGTTTTCTAGCTACCTGGCTGATTGTTCTGGGTTACCCAACATTCTTTCTCAATAAATTCCTTTTCTGCTTAAATTTGCCAGAGTAGATTTATGCTGATTAAAACTAACAACCCTGGCTGATTCTATTTTTTACATGGAACTATGCAATGACCAATAAACCAACCTCTAGTAAAACTGGTTAAGAAAACAAAGAGAGAAGACAAACTAGTACTAAGAATAAAGAAGAAGACCAAAATACAGACATCAAGCTGAATTTAAATCTCCAGAGACTATTAAAAGAACGTTATAAGGAGTGATCTTGCATATATATAATTTTGCATGTCTGCAAGTACATCCATAGATTAAATTGCTAGAATCAGAACTGCTGGGTCAATGAACATGTGCTTTTCTAATTCTGACAGACAATACCAAATCACCCTTCCTTCATGAAGCCTGTATGGATTTACAGTCCGACCAGCAATGCAGGAGAGTGCCATTTCCTAACACATTTTCCCATACAATGAGTGTTGAAACTTTTTAGCTTTGCCAATCCAATAGGTGAAATTTTGTATCATATATTTTATGACTGAAATTGAGTACTTTTCACATTTAAGTAATTTGCATTTCCTTCGATAACAAATGTATATGTATTTCCTTTACTCCTATTGAGTTAACTTTTTCTTCTTGATTTGTTAAAGCTCTCTCTACATAAGGAAAATTAGCCTTATGTCACATGAATAGTAATACTTTTCCGAGTTTATCCTTTGCCTTGAGTTTGCTTATAGTGGTTACCTTTACGTAGTTATATTAATCAAACTTCTCTTTTCTGGCTTCTGCATTTTGTATCATATTTGGAAAGACTTTCTTCAGGCCAAGATATAATAACAAATTCTATCATAGTTTCTTCTGGTACAAAGTATAAAATTCTTCTCATATCTACTTTTAAAAATTCTAAATCTTTATTTTTATTTGGGGGGCAACATAAGGAGCATAATCTTACTCAGGCTTATATAAGTCTACTATCCAACACAAGGGACCAAAAGATTTTAGTAACAGTCTGGTAGAAATGAAGATAATTTTTACTTACTATTGGAGAATTTGCTTTCTCTAAAATGGTTCTTGCTGACATTTAGAACAAAATGTCCAAAGAGCTTAACATCTTCGTTATATAGTGTAAATAATACAAAGTTAAAAGCCTGATCCCCAACTTAGAAGCTTCTCCAGCCTTGGATAAGTCAGTCCCAACTTCCTCTTCTATAAAATCAGAATAATACCCATCATGACAGGCTACCACGAGGATCAAATGAGTGTTAAGGAGAGTGAAAACACTTTGTAAACTATTTCAGCCAGTAGAGTGGCATGCAGTAGAACCTAATAACTATAAAATTGTCTCTGGCGTTGGTGAGATAAGAAATTGTGGTCTGGTCTGATTTATTTGCAAGTACAACTTATAAGAAACAAAGATAATGATCCAATTGCTTTGATACATATATTATATGAAAAATTAAATTCACTTTTGCTATTAAGAAATCTCAAAGTTCATATATAAGGCCAAGTAGGAACTCAGCATACTGACTGAAATCTTACTATGCCTTGACTTATTTGAGAGTAAATGGTAACCAGCAGAGGTAGGGGTGGAGTACTAACTAACAGTCACCAAAATTAGTACTGATCTAAATTAACTTAATCTTGGATTAAGATGCTTTAAAAACAGAAAATGCTAAATAGTCAAGATCACTTTTTCCCCAACAGGACTGTGCTACATTAAATGGCATTGTGCCCAAAAGCTCAAAAATTCCATAGTTAACAAAGTAATTCTTGAATACTAAAACATGTAAGCATAATGTGACATTATCTTAAATATTTAACCCTATTTCCTATTTTAGTAGAGCCCTCTAGAAATGTCAACAAGCCAAAAAAAAAAAAAAATCGCATTTTTTTCCTATAGGCTTGCAAAAAGAACATTAGATTCTGATACCTGCATTGTCAATTGAGACTATTTAGAAATGCCAAAGCTTCTCTTTGCCTTGGTCTCCTCATCTATCAAATGGAGATCAAAATACTGGACAACGTGGGCCGGCCCCGTGGCTTAGCGGTTGGATGCGTGCCTTCTGCTGCTGGCGGCCCTGGGTTCGGATCCCGGGCGCGCACCGACGCACCACACTGCTTCTCTGGCCATGCTGAGGCCACGTCCCACATACAGCAACTAGAAGGATGTGCAGCTATGAGGTACAACTATCTACTGGGGCTTTGGGGAAAAAAAAAAAGAGTAGAATAAAATTATCCTTTAAAAAGAAAAAAATACTGGACAACGTACCTCATAGGAATGGAGAAGACCACAATTAATAGTAGTAGTAGTAATCAATGAAGAATCCCCATAATACATAAAAACAGCTAACATTTAATGAGTGCACACTGTATGCTAAATGCTGCACACACACACACACACACACACACACACACACACACACACAGAAAGCAGAAAAGAGTTAACATAGCAGGCCTAACTGCCTAACTTAAAAGGCATGCTTACAAGGTTGGCCCTTGGCTGCTGCCTAGAAACTTGGATTTCAGGAGAGTTCCCGCCCTCTCTAACTGATTAGGTACAGATTTACTGTACCTAAACTGTTTGTAGAAACAATATAGTTATGCCATACCTTCTCTCCTGCTAGGAGTCTGGAATTTTGGTACATGCTAGGCAGAGGATGCCTATGTGATCAGCCCCTAATAAAAACTTAAGGCTCTAAGTCTCTAATGAGCTTCCCCAGTTGGCAGCATTTCACATGTGTTGTCACAACTTGTTGCTGGGGGAGTTAAGCATGTCCTGTGTGACTCAACTGAGATAGGACTCTGGAAGCTTGTACCTGGTTTCCCCTGACTTTGTTCTATGTGCCCTTTCCCTTTGCTGATTTTGATCTGTATCCTTTCACTGTAATAAATCATAGGTGTGAGTATGACTATATGCTGAGTTTTGTGAGTACTCCTAGTGAATCATGGAAACTCAGTGGTCTTGAAGCCCTCCTGACAAACACACACACACACACACACACACACACACACACCCCCATATGCCATGGACGAAGATCTCTTTAGATCTCAGTTTCTACCTGAAAAATAAATGCAACGCATTGGATAACTTCTAAAGTTAATGATTCAGTAACAATATTTTTATTC